ACAMAATTCATTGTATCAACGCCATGGCTCGTAGTTTTATTATTGAAATAGTCAAGGGGTCAATGGTTTGATATCAACACTCATACAACCTAATTCTACCATTAACATCTAATATTAGATGTGTTCCTGCTACTGTATCGCCCTAAGGCATTCTTCCTGCACCAATAACAATAATTCTGGTTCATCAAAAAGAGGATGTACTTCCCTGCAGGAGTTTTTATATCAGAGTATTATTGGCCGGTTGAAAATGAGTGTTTCGTGATGGTGAGCCATTTCTCGTGGATTAAGTGGAGTATGTGCTTATCTTGTGATCGAGTTCTTAGAACTTCTCGGTACTAAAATATATTAAAGAACGTCAGACAATAAGAGCACTTCATTGCGCAACATTCAGCAAAAAGGGAAGTTAATACATTTTACTTTCTTATGATTGCTATGTAAGAGCACTTTTAAGGTGTTTGAATGGCTCAATAGTTTCTCTTTTATTAATTTGAACTTTTTTTGTCAAGTTTTTTCATGCACTTTCGTCTTCTTAGTTTTGTGCTTGGAAAATGAAATGAAATGGTGAATAAAATAATTTGCTTTTGATATAAAGATAACGTCAAGAGGAAACTATTCTTTTCTTCCCTACCACTCCATGTTTCATCTGCTTAAGGCAAAACAGATCATAAGATTGATAAAAACAGCATGAAGACAAGCAAACCACTTCGTTCACTTCGCTGTCAATTGAAGCTCGGTTGCAAACAGTACTAAAATACCATTTTAAAGTCAGAAGTTTTTTATTATTACTAGCTCTTGCCTGGAGCGATATATCATAAAACAAACAAATTCAGTGATGTTGTCAAGCTGATTGCATTATACCACGAACACCGCTTCCTTGTTTTTACACCAAATCACAAAACGACGTACTACTGTCGTATCTTTTAAGAAATGTTGTTATAAAAGATTTTTTTACGCGATATAGCAAAAATACACAAACAAGCAGGCAGTAAAACAAACCTTTACACCATGGAATTCAATAATGTTACGAATTTTAGTGTTGAACTTTATTGGCAGATAAACAGAAATGGACTTGCACAAACATGAACCTATATTGTATGAGGATTTTGATGAGCAAAGTAAACTAAMATTTCTCTTTTCTGACCTCATCTCATCGCTATATTGTTTGTTAATTATTGTACATGAATAACATGTTGCAGCTGATTTTAACGAAAAAACTGTGGACAATACACACTCACAAACTCATATCATTTACAACTGCTAATGCCATTAACAGCCCTCGTAGTAAGAACATTATTCTTAGTATAATAACATTGTTATTTTTGTTCTCTTTCAGTTCATGTAAAAGCCTTGGTAGGGTGTTTCAGTCTCATTTCTTGGAGCAAACTGCAGGTGTTTTAATCAAAGYCAAAATAAGGAAATAATAAGCGAAATTGAACCTACAGCTTCAACTTCCTTGATATTACATAAAGCTGTAAGCAGGTTTCATTACAAATGATTATCTGCCTTGGTTTATAGTCTCTACAAATCTTATATCCCTTCTCTCTAAATCGAGCATTAGAAATGAGCTCTCTTGATAGTGAACTGCCATTAAATCAATAACCGTCATATATTCATATATATCAAAACGTGATCTTTCTGTAATAAAAAAACAAAGCAGTTTTCATATCATAACATATGCTMGTTCAATGTTTGTTGCCCTTGGCATTTCAAACACAAAGTACTGGTTTCTGGATTGAAATCAAGCTGTTCATCACACCACCGCCTATCTGTTTTCTATTCTTTTCATCATGGGTTACAATTCTTAATTGCCATGTTTAGACTTTTAGGGGACMTTTTACCATAATTTTCTAATGCAATCTTTACCGTGAGATTTCTAATGTAATCATCTAAGATCGAAGTGTTTCTTGTTAGGTGAAACCAATCATTTTGCCTTAGGTAATATAACTTATTAGTGACAGTACTTCCCATTTCGCGTAGTTTTCATTGTATAAAAGAGAGGGACTTGCTTATCTCCATGATAAACAAATGTACCAAGCATAACTAAACAAATTGAAAATTCTCCGTGTAGAATATTGAACGCAAAGAGTAGTTCTACAACCAAGTTGACAATACTTGTAGGATTAGAAATGTGTAATTATGTAATGATCAGAGTTAGTGTTAACTAGTGTCACGCCAGAGAACACAATACACGTGTCAGTTAGATACATGACGATAAAGATCGTCTTTYTGAACAAGATTTGGTTAAATATATCAATAAAACAGCCCTTTTTGACAAGGTCACAGAAAGCTTGCAACCACGGACTTGTTTTTATGTGGTTTTAATGTTATGCTGGTCTAAAACGTGGTTTGAAGGACGTTTTTACTCAAACAGACACTTCAAATGCAGACTGTCGTTTTAGTGTTTTTATTGGAAACAAAGGGTACAAGTTGGTTTCTACCTTAAGCCCACAGCAGCCGCAAAAAAACTTAAGTCATGCTCTTAAAAGGTACAACAATTATTTGTTGTGCTCTCAGAATTTTCTTTTATAACAATCACGTCATTTGAAAACAGCTTAACTTCACATTGGCCTTGTGCATCTTAAAACATTAAAATCCGATTTAAAGAAATCTAACTGTCTGGCTCAGAAGACCTGTTGTGTAATGAGTTACCCCAGAAACAGCTAAGGTTGATTTTTATTTGTCCTTTCCCACCCTGAGGGCATATTCCATCTTAAAGATATTAAGTTAGTCCAATACACGATGCTATGAGCCTCATATACCACAAACAGAAATGTTTGAAAAAAGGCAACCATGCCTAGCAAAGAAGAATCAAGACAAAGACATAACACACTAATCAATATACAGATTGAAATTATCGAGTGGAGTAAACCCGTCTGATCTATTTGCATATGTGTTGCCAGTATCTGTGATAATGATTGTTTTGCTCAAGAGAATAACTATTGCAGGGTCGATCTTACTCTGTATAACGGCAAATAGAGAACCATAGGCTTTAGTTCCTCTAATATCAACTATGAATCGACCRACATACAATACCACAATACCCGGGTTAACTACATCAGTCAAGAGTCGATCTAATAAGACAGAACTAATATACATATTTTGGAGACAATGCTGAATTAAACGGAGCACGCAATGCTCGATAAATGCACGCAACACAAAACTTAGAGTTTTACCAATAATTTGTCTAAATTAAAGCTTAGAGGATAACGCTATGATGTTATGAAGTGTTTCAGACGTAAGCTGGTAGGTGTAGCGACGAACAGTTCAATAGGTCGAGAAGAGCGCTACTAGTTCACGCACAGCTGGACTCTACAAGAATCAACAGTTTTTGTGTCTTTGTTCTTGTTGAAAACATGAGGTCAGACAGGCATACGACTGAGGTTTACTGCAAATTCATAGCTTTTATACTYAACAAATATAATATATACCAATTGACATTTATGCATAAGTAGAGAGAAAAAAATTCTAAAGCTGTCCAAGACATTGTGAGATGAAAGACGACAGTCATCACAAGCTCGCTGGGTAAACAGTCTGTACTTTTGATAATACAAACCCCAAAGTCCATGTAAATTCATAAGTTGTGGTGTGTATACAAGACTCTACAGGTTATAATTAAGCAATGTTCACAGTGGTCAGCTTCTCTTAACCATGGAACCGATTAGAACCATCGATTTGAACTCTAAATAGATCGCCTTTGAGTAGACATGTATAATACAAAGTGACCTGGTTACACAAACACTTTCTTAAACAAATTTCTCTCGCCTCAAAGGTCAGCGACCAATAATGCAATAAATCTCTCAAAAATAAAATCGTAATGTATACTTTTACCATTCCGGGACTCTCTGCAAATGTACTTCAGATTACAAAATTTCTCCTGCGCAAATTGTTCAATTTAAAGAATTTTGCCGAAAGGGAAAAGCTGCAACTTAATCCAWCGTCTTTACAATAAAATACAATGGAAATGTTGAAGAGAAAAATTCAAATTCCTCAATTTTCTGCCATACTTTCTAAACATACAATGCGCGATAATGAAATAAGGAACGTATGGGATTTATACAAGATCACGGACAGGATATTAAGAGTTGTAGGCATTGGATCAAACAGATCAAACAGTGGGGAGTCTAACAATTAGAACTGTAGTGTGACCTTTTCAAAATGTGCTCACGATTAAACTTCCTAAGACGATTCGAAACTTAAATACAAACGTTACAWTGAGTTGCTGTGCTGTGACAGGGACGGATGACCTGAACGTTTGTACAATTAAAACAGTAAGGAATTGCGCAACAGTGCGTCTAGTTGTTAGAGAAATATGATGATTTGATGTTGACGTTTTTTAGATTCATTATTTGTTTCATTTGACAACCGGATCGCAGCTCAAAGAAGCAAGTTGCAGCACATCGCAGACACTGTATCCGCCTTCAAAGTATCAGATTTCACTTGCATTTTGTCTAAAAGCATCCAAAYTTTAGGGTTCCTCTCACCTTGTTCACAGCTGCAAAGTGTTTAAATCGAGCAATTAAAACACATTCATAATTTGTGTCTTTTTTCAGTACCGTCTATTCAGCGCTGCGTTGAAAGTGAAAGGACATGCGATTCACCCGTGACCAAAGCCGGACGGAAATCCACTCTTAGTTTTTATCTGAAAGAGCGAAAACGTTACGACAGCATTAAGCATCTGCTATCAAAAACAAGTTTAATCTGAGAGGAAATTTGTCAGATCTTTTTAAAGTGGGCTCCAGGCAAAGATGCGACTTAAACACGCGATATGAGTCTTGTCGAGTCCAATACCTATATGTTGGCGTTAACAATTCATCATAATTGAACCTGTTTTAAGTGTGTAGTGACCTTGTTACATGTTATCAAACGCAATGACAGCGACACAAATCGACTGTTACGCGCAAACSAGTGTTTATATATTGGTGAATGACAAAAGAGTATAAAAGAGACAACGAGCGGAAAGCCACGAGATAACCCCCGCAAGCTAAGTAACACCACACAACTCTAAGAACGCCAAGGTTTTATTTTGTTCATGCAAACCTAGAAAAGTCTTGTCTTTTAGACATTTTTTTAGAAGAAAAAATCCTACAGCACAAAGTGGCTGAAAGAGAAAAAACTACAGGATTCCTAAACTCTACTCAGTACATTCGAGAAGTCCATGACTTTAACATAAACAATATTCTAGCATTCAACTCATGAGTGATGTAAAGCATTCCATCAAACTAGTCTTGGCTATCGTCAATTGTGAAAAAAACTGGTGATCATGACATTTATTTAGTACTTACAATAAAAATGCTATAAAATCTTCGATTTTGTCTTTTTAAAACATGAAAATCCTATCTACATATCTATATAAACTACAAGATTTCTCCCGTATATAAATTTCTAGCTTCTAGCTAACCTACTGAAAAATGGAAAAGTTTAACGGCCTTGAGCCATGTCAACAAACTGAGTGGTTTTCTTGGATACCTTTTGAAGGAGCCCATCTCTAAAAATATTTGTTCAAATACACACATGTACACGCGTTGCACGCTCCACTTTTCTCTCCCTAACCCTATCCATGTTTACATGAAGTTCATGAACAGGGTAGATAAGGCCACGACGTTGGTGTACCAGAAAGCAACATGTCCCTAAGTAATGTCTCTATCGGTGTCTTGCCAACAAGACGAACAAAAAATAACTGCTCCACAACATTTGGGCTTATACTTCGCAGTGAGGGCAACCGGAGCAGCAGCTTCCCAAAGCGAGAAGGTTGATTAGGATATTGATTCCTTGAATATTCCTCTAAGGCACACTGAGTCTTCTCTTGAAGRCTTTCAATATATTGGGGGTCCGTTAGCCCTGATGCGTCTGAATACAAACAAAATGATGGATTTAATTGTAAGGAATACAGCATGAATGGAGAGCGTTCATTGGGTTCCAATCAAAATGCATTATAGTCTGTTTAATACTTTAAAAGGAATATTAATTATTTGCACATTATTCACCTCGAACTCAGGTCAATATTCTAAGTTATTTATCTAATTATGAGGTAGGTACTGAATGTTATTCACCTCATGTTGGGTATATACTGTGTGGTATCCCATGGTATGCAGTATAACGAGTTATTTCCTTAATCGATTGAACATACCATGAAATATCAAAGATCAAAGATTGTCCTTACCAGAAGTAAACAAGACAATAGCTTTCAAGCAGGCAAACTCAGCAGCATCTACATGAAGATTTCTTAGCTTGTCGACTTGCTCTTGAAATATTCTTATGTTATCCATGAATGTAACCACTCTATCTGGAGACATATGATTCGAGTGAATCCCGGCAGTCGCAAGAAGTGGTGCAACTTGTAATGACATAGGACATTGTGCTGCATTTAACACAAACAGCTCGCTCCATACAAGACGTAGCAGAGCCACTTGGTCAGTAACAGCCAAGTCCGGAAAGAACGGGATGTTACGAGCCCATTCAACGGCACTAAACAGCAATCGAGCAGCCAGCTCGCAAATATTCTCAATGCCCATGATTCCACACGCCATGTTAAGCCCTTGTTGCTGGAATCGGGTGGTTGGGTAGGGTTCTGCTCGCAACAGCAGTGCAATAAAGCCAGACAGGTACGAGTGTCCATTTGTACTTTCGCCATTGACGCCAGGTAGACTTGTGTTTTGTTGCTGTACTTGTGTTGGAGGGATACGACCTCGCTGTACTGCTGTCGAGCCAAAAGGTGAAAAAGTTCATTCAACTAACAATCGATTCCCTGTAAGATACTATTTACAACAATCTTATTACAACTTCAACGTCAACAATTTTTGGCGCGGAAATTCTCTTACCTTCACGGCGCATTCCTACTTTGAGGCATTTTTTCAGCCTGCARTACTGACACTGATTCCTGTGATGTTGATCTATTGGACAGTTTCTCGATGCTCGGCACGTATACGTAAGATTTCGACGAACACTGCGCTTGAAGAACGACTTGCAACCTTCACAAGTAAAAACTCCGTAATGTTTTCCCGACGACTTGTCCCCACACACAGCACATTCTATTTGACCGTTCTTTTCTGCCGAGTCTTCTTGAGTCTCTGTGGTCTCTCGCCATGTTTGTGCGGCAACGATGGCCATTATGCCGGTGTACTCTGGTGATACAACAAAAATAGGATTGTTAATCTTTCGAACTGTGTGGCTTTCGATAATTAGGGATATCGTGACCGTCTGCCACACGGAATCAGATGTAATACCATTCAATGAAGCGCTAAACACACCATCAGACTTACTTGACACACGGTTTAGTGGGCAAGAGCAGCGAATACGCTACTGTAAGCCCAACTACCGTATAATGGAACGCTCAAGCTAGCTGAAAGAAGGGCACGCTTTAGATCTAGGACATCGATCCTTGGCTGTATTCTTGAGCGTGTCATGTCTGAAAGCTCTGAACTCTGACATGGTCTGTTGAAACTGTCGGGTCTCCATAGCAGCCATGCCATATAAGGGAGCAAGAGTCATATATGGGAAGGAGGGTAGTATTACAACCAAGCATAACTAGTTGGTAATTAGAGCAGCCAATTTGGCCCTGGGGCAATAGAATGAGCGCGCCTTGGTTGCCGAGATGACACAAAAACTACTAACATTGATATTGTTTGTTAACACGGCCGTCTAGTTTTTATACGAGAGAACAAGGCTGACCTTCCGCTTCCAAGAACAAGTGATATAATCCACAGGAATTATACTCTTATAGCTAAACATAATATTTCATCGAGCGAGGCGGGATTCAAAAATCGCGTGAATCATTTAACAAGAAAATTGATGTCGAATAAACACCAATTTACACCTTATTCAACAACAGATATCTAAGCTATTCCGGAATAACATTAAAAACATTATTCAGGGTTCGTTTACGCAACTAGAACATTCGCTTTCGAGTGTACAGATGACATTCATCAACAAGACCGCAAACGCATTATAAGCGCCAAGTAAGTTTTCACTTTCCCGGGTTTCAAATAGGCCACCGTCGGTAGAAGTAAATCATTCACTAAGACTTCGAGTGAGAGGAGCACTTAACAAACTCAAAACAGCCTTTCAAAACCATGGCTTTTGAACTGAAGTAACTCGATAAACGCACACGATACATAGAGATTCGCCTGACGATAGGAAGACCGGCGTTATGGCACCACATATACAGATTGTGARTTATAACGTGAACACATGGTTACTCTGAATGCTAATGCCTTACATTTTGGTCCTGGTTGATTGTTCTCGAGGTCAATAGCTTGAACCAAGCTATCACTTGCTTGAGATTTGTGATTTWAACTYCGGTATAACCATTGAACAGAAACACAGGAATGACACCATGTAAGCACCGAGGAACACAATTAAAAACAATCTGTACCACAGATTGAMTAACCAATTCGACGAAGAACAGACAGTCGAACGATCGTCTCACCGGCTATACGATATATAAAAGCGTCTGATCGTATATCCGGGGTCACGGGTCGTTTTACTTTATACACAGTTGACATCACGCAATACATATGACATTGATGACGCGTGACAACGTGTTTGAACAGCGGCGTACTAGTGATGAGATCAGTTTTGATAGGCTAAGAATCACTAGAGTCTCAACAAGAGAATTCACGATTGAATTTAATCAAAGAAACATGACTCCAGCTCGTGATTTAGGAATGCGTCTTGGTTATTTTTGCTCTATGGATAGACAGTACGCCGGCTCTGCAACATACCTATGATGCCAAGCAGATAAAATTCCCTCATTATCATGACAGAGAATAAAATGACAATAAATAAAGAGACAGAGCGTTAAATTTAGAACTGACAGATCTGTAGAAATGGCCGCCTCTAGTTTTGATTGTAATACGACCCATTCCCGTGATAACACGGTGAAGCAGATCTTTGCTCCCTTAATAAAAACTTAGATTATGTAAAGTGTGCCCTTTTGTGTTGTTAAGTAAATCAAATCCCTCCAAACAATATGTTAAAGGGTTGACACGATGAACTTTTACAAGAGATTTCGGGCTCTTTAAAACAGTCCGGTCCAACGCTCACTAACAAAGATAGTCGAAGCTCTGCTTCAACCACAATAGACCATGACAATGGTCGGTCAAGACTTCCGGAATAAGCTATTTTACAATGGAAAAAATTGAGTCCTAATATGTTTCTTCACGAAAGAAAAGGTGTTGTGACAGATCAATGCTTCGTAACAGTCTGTCTTCTCTAATTAGCACTTTTTATTGAGATTATTTCAAATTACTTATCCACGTTTTCATACTCCAAAGAGGTGTGATTGAACCCAAAGATCTTGCTTTTTAGCTTGCAGGCGCATTGCTGCGTCGTGTGATTAGTTTTCAAGCCACCTATTTAGGATTAAATTAGCCCTATACTGCTAGCTGTCAAGGTAATAGTTGGTGGAATAGGGATTAAAAATCTTAAGCACCTTTTTGTTGAGCGAAAATGAACTTTATCCTCTTGACAGATTCACAGAAAAAAATTCCAAGAATCTGAATGAATCAAAGATTGTGTGTCARGGCTTTCCTTGTGCAGCGCAGAGAAGACGTTGCTTACTTAAGACTATACGTGAAGAGGGGCAAGRTCTTTATGATATATACTCATGATGAAGTTTGCTAGTTATTTATTTCTGTTATAAACGTTTTGGCCTTTGATAGAACCATCGTTCAGTTTGACCTTGGTTGTCGTAATCAAGATGTAAGTTAATACCACAGCTTGTCTCGTGGTCTGAGTCCACTGTRCGTCAATCTAAATAAAGTTGTCCACCAGGAATGCAATAAAAACCTTCCTCATCGCAATCAACTACATTAAACCATGAATACTCAAAGAGAACCTTCAACCATGTATTTAAAGCACTGTCCTTTKTCAAAGCCCACCAGAAGTTTACAATCGGAAAGAAAAACAACCAGTTTAATACTTTCTTTAACAATAGATATCACTAGACGCTGCTAGCCATGTCTAAAGCCTGTAGTACCTGTCGATTAAACAAACTGACAGGAATCTAGCGTCTCCAGTCGAGCTCGTTTCTGCGCCGTAATGCAGTAGTTTCGAAAGCAAGGACACTTATCTAAATCCATAATCTAAGCACCACAAACCAGTTTATATACAGTGATCCACAGTATGTGTTTATCAAATGACAGTGGTCRACTAAGAACACCGCCATGTTGGGTACGCGTGAACGACTTAACCTCGTCTGACCACAAGGGTCCTCAGACGGTCTCTCTAGTTAACCTAATGACCTAGCCCCGTAAATTAAGGATCAAGAGCGATCGTTAACAATTACATAACCGAATTATGTTATTTGTAACCTTTCCAGAAGTAAACAAGCGTCCGTGAGGTCGCTAAGGACTACGAGCTTGTACTGTTGTAATGGCGCGCAAACTAACATTATGAGTATAGTCGTATAGAAGATAATACTATTCTTGAATTTGTAAAGAAAGTAGAGTAAAGACAAAAAGGTGCTATAATATAGGACCTTATCTTAAAAGGCCATTGACGACTTTCAACGAAGTAGAAAAAAAGCAAAGACCCCATAAAACACTTCACTAGGTGTAACCGATTGACATTTCTCAGGCAATGTCTTTTATTTGCTAATTTTCATTAATGGAGTAAAAACCCTCATGCTGCTTCTAAAGATAGAAAATATCTTGATAACACTGCAATTGTTTCCAAGTGTAGAGACGATTGACGAGCTGAAACTCGAAACGAAAAGCCACTTTACGCCGCCCCCTTCGAGCGACCGCAGAATATCTAGTGGTAAAACCATACAATTTTTTTCTGTTACATCATATCGACAAGTCCAGGTTCTGATTTGAAGTGTCCGAGGAAAAACTGTTTATTTTGAATAGCTAAAAATACTATAGTTATGACAGAGATTAAACTCAGTCAAACCGTGTTTATTGTCTTTATTCTTGTGTAGTTTTTTCGCGGTCATCGTAAAACGATCTTCATCATCCTTTATGTTACGTAATTTTACCAATCCTTGAAATTATAAAACTACTCGTCCTCGAATATGTCAAATCGAAATCTACAGAGTGCATATCACGAGAGGCTTAAACTAGACAGAGCCTAGCATACCAGATTGTTATAATCATTTATAAATTAGACATGTGATACTGTGAATTCACCGGAACAACTTAGCTTGTTCTTCAGGGGATCGGCGAYAAAGAGAAATCGTTTTTTCAGACTTTAACGACCTTCAGGGCGGGAGATTACAAGGACAAAAGAAAACAAACTTACCAAGAAAATAGTTTTTACACTACGTTCAACAAAAGCAWTGTATATTTTTCTTTGGAAGAAGCAAAACAGGATCTTCCAAAAGTAGGTTCAAGCGAAACGCGATCCTACTCCGGAAAATCAATGAGTACCTTTGTTGACCCGATGTTGATAGAAGAGGAAATCGCCAAACCTTGAGTTGCGATCATGAATTTCTCGAGACTTTGGTAATGTCCAGGTATTTGACTGTTTCCGTTTGGACTTAAAGAAATTCACTGATACACGACATGATAGTTTATCAAAGAACCTTTCGAGATCTTTCATTAACTTATAATCTAAAATTTATTTTGTGGATTTATTGTAAGCTTAGTATAGAGCTACCRTTATGGTTTCATAACAAATAATTTATTTAGCTTAAATATTATTTTTTTGAATCATCACTACTACTATGAGCAATAGAGGGTGAGGAGCCTTAACCGCCTGGTAAGTTTCCTGGCGACTTCAAAATGATCATTGTCAAATCATTGTATCAAATATAGTCCACTCTAAAAGACATCACGAGTTTTCTAGTTCATCTCGTGACTTCCAAACTATAAAGTAAATAAGCTAAGGCAGATCTAGAATAAAATTAAAGGAAGAAATCAATCCGTGATTAGGTAATTAGATACTGCACAGAGAATTTGCAGGGGCGGAGAAAGAACAAAGCATGTTCTCGGTGGAATGGCGCGATTCTTTAGCCGGGTATTGAGTCATAACTTTTTGTCTGATAACCCTAAAGCTTGACTTAAACGTTTAACGGTCAATTAACATACATAGGGGAACAATTGTCAACATACATAACTGTACAATAAGGGCAAGTTTAGCGTTGCAGAGCGAACTGACCGCACAGAAATYYCATCTCCTTGTGTGTATCAGAAACAAAGGTCTATAGACAAATCGAAGTGCTTCAGCTCCTTAATGTGGCGGCAGAATGGCTAACAAAACCGTGACAATAAACGAAGACCATACACAAGTATTCTGGAGTGAAAATACTTGTAAAACCAGTAAACTCAGTATCTTGTTAAATAACTACCTAACAGCGCGATATTTCATGAAGAGAATTAAATACATTCTTACACTTGGATTGTTTGCGTTAGCAAATAGCTGATCTTAGAGACTTCGGCATGGAATCTGCTTATTCAAARCAGTACTGCGGAGAGGTTAAACCATGACATAAAGCCGCCGTACAAAACTTAATTTAAGCTCGAGCAATCGAGRGAAAGTTTTACAACGGAGACGCGTTCAGTGCAAAGGTATTGTTCTCCGGACACGGAACTTGAATCTTGAAGTTTCCATTAATCGAGGGTTAACCTAGAACCACAAATATCAACATAGTAATACTAGCATGTACCTGAACGTATAGAGAGACGTTGATTGTGTTCTGACGGCTGTTGACCTCTTGCAAAACGAGTTCACAAGCAAGCACTCTTCGTCCAGCCTTTGGATCGATTGTAGCTTGGCACAGTGTCCAATAATCACTCCCGCATCAGATTACAAGCCTCTCTATGACATCATAAGCACTAGGACCTAGTCTTCAACCACGATTGTCAATTAAGGCCCGGTCTGTCAAATTTATCTGCAAAATTAAAGAAATCATTACCAGGTGAAGCTCACAAATTATCCTAGACAATCTCTATGAATCACCTCTTACTTTGAACTTAGGAATCAGCTGCGTCCTTTTCCAAATCAGCTTCAGCTAAGGCTGTATACCAGGCCTTATATCAATCGCTCTTCTAATTTCTTAGTAGAAATAACAATATGCCAAAAATCCTTATAATGCGTGGCAATGAATTACGAAAAAAAATCACCAGAATTTAAGGAATGTTAAGATGTGGCTCAGGTGGTAAGAGACTTGGCATCAAACAGTTTCTTTCATGAAATAAATCCAACTTTGGTCATCAAGTGTCAAATATTGACAATTTGCTGTTGAAAGAATGAATACGTCTCGTCATCATTCACAGTCCACAGTCCACAGTCCGTTGTCCACAGTCCTTCAGTAGTATGATAACCGGCACACTATTAGTGTCGAGTATGCCATCAAAATCATTATTGATAAGAAAAAGTTTGCTCAAAAAACAAAGTTCGCAATAGTTTTTCCTTTTTCATATTATTGAGTTAAGGAAAAAGGATTTCAATTTCCACAATAACATGGCATGTGGAATTGTAAAGATTGCTATAAAACCTTGTGCTCTTCCCCTGCAAAAAATATAGCTCAATAACAAATAATTATGGGTYTAAATTGACAAGGGGACTAAGAAAACAACGTTAGTCCACGGTAAAGGGGCTTTTTCATACTTCAAATCCAAGCAAAAAAAAAATGAAATTTTTGTATAAAAAGGAAATTTTGTAATCTCGCGGAGCAGTAATGTAAAATAAACCACGTGACGATCACGTGACTGTCWGGTACGAGCTTAATTTGTAAAATAATGTAAAGAGTGTTAATAAACACCTCAATCGTCACAACAGTTCAGGTYCTAATGCCGGTCAACATTTGGTTTGGCCTATGTCACTTTTTAAGAACACGAGGAAAGGATATATCAGTAGGTGAGAGAAATGATTAATTGCACTAGAAAAGAAACATGGCTGATCATAYTTTAAAAAGCTTCGATTTTACCATCCTATACAAAACTCCTATCAAACCCTATATACTATATCAGTTTATGCCAATAAAAAAAACTATCTTAAGAATACAAAAGAAACGAAACAACATAACTGATTCTGCAGTAGCTCGCTTGCGGTTGCCCTGTAGTACCAACGGCATTCTTTTACTGAACAAAAATACAATGAAATTTACCGTAAATAATGGCCTAACATACGACCTACATACATTCATGCTATGAAATCAAACAATTTCCTACTGAGACCGGTTGTTGAAAGCGTTAAAGTTGCGTGCAAWMCTAAGATAAGGCTATCTCTGTAAGGTCAAGAATATKTGTCTTTCACCAGCCAAGATTGTGTGTTTTCTAAAGATTTCTGGTGCGGTTTTTCTCGTAACAAAAGGAGTTTTGTACAAGTTTTTTGACAATCATCATTTGATTTGTGGCTACGAGTAATCAAAGGTGATCACGCGAAGGTCTATGAAGGACCGGTATTGTTAGCTATTTAACACGACTAACGGTTGAAACAGTCAGAAAGGTCACGATACAATTTAACTGACGGAGATATCCGCTTTTCACCGGGTTGTATAAAATCCCCTTACATATATTAACGGCGAAAACACCGATGCCCGGGTTGCACCTCACAGCTGTTTCTTAATAAACAGACATTCCCATATACATAACATTAGATCTCCAATTAACTCCAATTTGTTCAGTTTTTAGTCTCGGTGATCCTTGGAAAGTTGCGTCCTATCACACTTCTAATCATTACCATATTGACCTGGTCATTGCCGAACACTCGTCATGCCCAAGAGCAAATASTTTGAAGTCGGAAATAAAAGAATTATTGGCTTACTAGGATATGCGTCATAGTTATAAAGACCTACAGCTGCTCGGTACAATAGCTACCTGGTATAAACATATGGTTTTACTCAGAAAAACACTCTCAAAAAWRACGTTTCTATCGTGAAAGGAAGTGCCACATCAGCTTTGTTTAAACTAGTTTGTCTCTCATTAATGGTATATATATCAATGAGTCACATTTATTGAAAGTTGTTATACTAAGAATACGGSACGTTGACCACACCCATACTTCGCACGCGAGCAGAGCTTTCACGATGAGATTTCAACCGGATAAAACTAATTTAAACAAATAACCTAATACCGAGAATCACAATAGCAATATCCCTGATATAATGATATTATTGTACCGATAATAATTTATCAACCCTCCCATGCCCCAGCAAGAAAAATGTCAACATAAATATCAAAGATCCAACACTTAGCGAATTATTGTACAAAGTAACATACACTATAACGACTCAAAAACCTAATATCATATCTGTATTCACTGAAACTATACTGGAGCGAGCGAAAAGCCACAAGGAAAAATAATTGTAAGGTTGGTTAACCAGACCACCGGAAAACTAAAGACACACAAAAACAAATGAGAAGTAGTTTATGGCGTGACATCTCCTTAAACAATCAAAATATCATTATCTTCGCGGCAYTGAATGTGTGTTATGATCATGTAAGGTGCGATAAACAATTATCTATAAAGTGCACGATGGTTTGACACGGAATTTGAACTTTGATCGTTTGAAGCGTGCCGGGTTACTGTTGACTTGATTTTCCGGGGTATCCTTTTCATTTTTTACTATCTGACAAATTGAGGGCAAGTATGCAGCATGTTGCTGAAAATATGTTAATGTCATATTTGATATTTTTTTTAAATCACGAAAATGGCGCGAAAGTAACCGGAAATTAAAAGTATGTTGCATTCTGGGATACTCCTCAACTGCGCATGGCATTAGTAATCATACCAAAATGGCGGATTGGGGTAAGAAACCATGTACTCGAAACGCAAATTGAATTTGTGCCTCTTTCTCTCAACTGATTTCTTTTATTTTTACATCAAACTGTAAACAGACGATGAAAATTTCGAGCCGACAGGTTTTGATGACAAATCAAACACCGATAAATGGGAAGGCGAGGACGAAGAAGACGACTCGGTGAAGGTGTGTTGCGTTCGTATTATCTTGAATATTATTTTCTGATAACATTTTTTAAAGTTTTCTTTTTAATGTCATTAAAAAATATTGATAAATCAATCGATTGTTTAACCAATAAAGGACAACTGGGATGATGATGATGAGAGTGAAGAAAAGAAAAACGAAGTAGATGAAGGTAACAATTCATACTTGATCGACAATTGTATCGTCACGTGTTGCTATATTTCGGTAAAAACTTGATAAATCTTGATAAAATAGTAGTAAAACTGTTTAGAATGTTTCTTAACTAAMCATGCAACGTTGGGGAAAAATAAATTAGAACAAGGTACAGAGGTTCCGTCAAAATTTTTTGAATTGCCATGTCTAAATGACGTATGCTTTTATAACAGTCATTTCGAAACCTAATTTTGCATCCATCGAATTGTAATAAAGAAAACAGTTCAATTTAAATAAAGAAAACAATTTCACGATTTCAGTATTATTCTATATTTAGAATTTTAAATTGAGGAAATATTTTGTCAATTGTAGTTAACGAATGTAACATTTCGACATTGAATAATTGATTAATGAACATGGTTCATCTAAATTATCTTGTTACATACCTATCTTATSTGTTTATTCTAGTTACAACTGCAGCAAAAGCAACCAAAAAGAAGCGGACATTAAAAGAAGCAATAAAAGAAAAAGAAGCCAAGAAATTAGAAGAACAGAAGTTGAAAGAAGAAATGAGAAAGAAAATGGAGGAGGAGGAGGTAAATTTAGTGATGCAAATAATGTTTTATGAAAAATCTATTGTTTTTATTATTTGATTAATTTTCTTTCTGATCAGGAATCTGAACCTATGACTCAAGAAGAAATAATGGCAGAGAAATTACGGCAACAAAAGTAAGTTCCATTGGATGGGGTAACGTTGATGTTTATTACTGGGTAACTATGTACATACTGTAGCTTTTGATGTAAAGTCAAGAAATAGCTAGAACCATTTGCTGGTTGAGTGATGACCTGAACGAGGAAGAGCTGTTTACAACTACAGTTATTTTCATAAAAATAAGCATTCATTTGTGCCTAAATGTTTAATTTCTTATTAATTTTCCATAATTAATGTCTATTGTGTTATTTTGTAGATTAGTTGAAGATTCAGATTTACTATTAGCTATGGATACATTTGGTAAGTGTAGTTGGTTTTAACTTATTTACTCAGTCTTATTTCTATTTGGTCCTTTGGACATGTCTTGGAGCTCATCAAACTGCTTCCTTAAGTTTACACTAATCATTCCTCATCATCTTATTGCTTTTGGCCTCAAGACCAATGATTTTTGTTATAATATTTATTTACAGGAAGCAGTAAAGAAGAAATAACAGGAAAGAAAAGTTTAGATTCAATGAACCCYTCAACACGGGAAGAATTTACAGAATATAGTAAATTACTGGTTGATAAGCTTTCTAAATTTGAAGTAAGTTGAGATAMTAAAATCAATACTGGTAACAGTTAATAATCTTTGAACTTTTAAGGGTTTTTTTAGCTGTCTTTTGGATTTTGTAGCACAAGTTAATACAAATTATTCTTGTTGTGTTACAGTCCAATGTAGTTTATGTGCAATTCCTAGAAGATACTTTAAGAGATTTATGCGCAAGCAGTAAGTATAATATATTTGTTTTTACAATTGAAAATTGAAAAGGAGTAAATTATTGTGTATCTTCCTTAACAGTGGAAGCTGATGATATCAAAAAATTATCTCATTGTTTAAACCTTCTACATACAGAAAAGATTAAAGCACAAAAGGTAAGTTACATTATTTATTACTRCCATCAGCTTCAAACAATTAAACCAATCAATACCAATGCTTTCATTAAAATTTGGCAACCACAGGTATCCCAACCTATCAATTAAGGACTTTTGTATGAATATGCTATGTTTTTCAGGGCATCACTACCGAGCTCCCCCTACAATGCAGCATGTTGTCACACATGAAATCTAACTTGYGTGCATTTAAAACTGTTTTACAGGGCAAAACAAAAGGCAAAACCAAACCAAAGAAAGTAGSTTTGACCGGAGGAAAAGCAGGCAAGAAAGATGATATGGATTACAATGATTATGGAAATGAATTTGATGATTTTATGTAGAAAATCCCCACAAACTGTCAAATCACTAATGGTATTAAAAAAGTTGGAAATWTCTGTTCTCATCGCAACAAATTTGTTGCACATCTATACTGAACATTACAAGACAACTGTACAACTAGATAGTATGCTGCCACTTCCTAGTTTCTTTTGATATTCAAAGGATGCAGTATCTAGAATGCTAAAGAAAATATATTAATAATTATAAAAGCATTCAAAGTGGGAAACTTCATAATGGTTGAGATCAATAACAATGCATATTATCTACTTTTACAGTATCCAACTTTATTAATAGATTATTTTCTTAGGTTAGCAATAAAATTGAAAACTAATGATATAAGAATTGGTCTTGTATTCAAAAACATCGAAAGCTTTTCTACTATCATTTGAAATGCCTTCATGCTGGTACTTTTCACTTGATTGACAGGAAAACAATGTGTATTCTTATTTTCTTAGGTTAGCAATAAAATTGAAAACTAATGATATAAGAATTGGTCTTGTATTCATAAACATCGAAAGCTTTTCTACTATCATTTGAAATGCCTTCATGCTGGTACTTTTCACTTGATTGACAGGAAAACAATGTGTATTCTTATTTTCTTAGCAACATCACTAAGGTGTAATAAAATAAATTATGACCAACATGTTGTGACTGTTTTAATGTCTCAGATTTAACTCATGAAGTAGTTGTAATACTACTAGTTAAAAGCAGACTGATTTTTTTCGTTTCAACTAGACTATTACACCGGCTCTGCTGCTAGCACTCTGCAATCTGGCATAACTTTAGATAACTGTCGGAGGAAGTTATCTTCCTTTTTCAACCCAAAGGAGCATTAGACTTAATTATATTAGCCATCCTTTTGAAGGAAGCTGGAAGGTTTGCAGCAGATCATGCTGATTTATTATAAACTGCTGTTGGACCACATTCTATTTTTAAATAATAGGTGGTTCTGATCATTGGAAAAATAAGGAAAGATTGGGCTGCAACTCCACAGTCACTGTAAGATATGAAATGACACGGCTAGATTCATATTTATTCCTATAACAAGAAATGATACCAATTCTTTTAGATTTCAATAAATACACTTCAGTCTTCAAAGCAAATTGTGAAAATTTAATCTTCAATAAATTCAAAAACTTACATTTAAACTTATGCAAATGAGCTACTACCAGTAATTAAAAGTCTGATAAATAACACATGGTAGAAAAAAATAGGCCAATCAATTAACCCTTACAATCCATGTACCCAAATCTAAATAACTTGTACGTCCTTGCGCTGTAATTCTTCGTATCCAAAGAGAATAGGCACCTTGTAATTATGTCCTGAGAAATTCGTGAGGGAAGGCACGAATCGATGAAAATCAAGTTCATTCATTCGAGTTAAGTTTATCTTGAATAAATCGCAGTAAAATMTCGTCCAATCTTGCTATAATGTCTGTACAAATTGTATAGAAGTCTATTTTTGTTTAGAATGTTGTTTTATAGATTCCTCTTTCCGTTTTTCTTCGCCATGTTGTATATTTTCAACCACTTTACGTTCGTTGTGACCTTGTGTTGATAAGCTCTTATTCTGTGAAGCTTCAGACTTACTCTTGCCTTTTCTAGCGCCACCAGAGTGTAAACTTTCATCGTAATTGTATTCTTCGTATTGATCGGCCATTATTATTATAGGATTTCCAAATTTACAATCCAATACTTTCCCCACTTTTTTTGTGAAAAGTTTTCTTTGTAAATCACGTGTTCCTTGGGATCTCCTGGACCCCAAATCGACACGTCATACTTAGATCGTCACGCAACACACATAATGCGTCACGTTTGCAAATTTTATCGAATTATTAACTCATTTTTTTTAATTTACCGGTATATCATTTTTGTTTTTTCTAAATATTCACTTGTTCCAAAATAATTATGCTCCCATTTTTCATTTTCCATTTTGCTTCTTCCCTCAATCTCACAAATAATTTACAATTATCATATAAATATTTATTTTCATTTATRGCTATTTTAAGAAGTACCAGTCAAGTATTCTTGTTCGTCAATTGAAGTAATCTTCCTCCCAAAGACTTGGAACCTTCTATGATATCAAGTAGAACTTCTATAAGAGGGACAGCAAAGGGAATCTGAAATATTAAGAATACTTATGATTGAATTCTTATTGATTCTCTAGCTCTGTGAGTTCCCTTTGGACAAAATAGAACAAATACCTCTTTTTTCAAAAGCATATCAACAGCTTCTTTCCATTCCCTTTCTCTGCCTCTCCTTGCAGTTTGCTCCTTACTCTGAAATTATTAAGTTAAATAAAATAGGTAAATGTTGTTATGCACAAAGACATATTGAGAAGTGTCCGAGACCAGAGAAAAATCCAGAGAAAAATTCTGTCTTACATTTTTTGCACCATGTTTGCTTATATCTGACATCAATAACCATACAATAGGTCATGTACAATATTTGTACAACAGTATTATAGTCTACCTAGTGTGATAGTGTACCTAGTGCGGTACAGTATCAT